AGTATTTGTAGTAGTTTAGTATTGTAGTAGTTTAGTAGTAGTAGTTTGTAGTAGTATTTGTAGTAGTATTTGTAGTAGTATATTTGTAGTATTTGTAGTAGTATTTGTAGTAGTAGTAGTTTTAGTAGTATTTGTAGTATTTGTAGTAGTATTTGTAGTATTTGTAGTAGTATTGTAGTAGTATTTGTAGTATTGTAGTAGTTGTAGTAGTATTTGTAGTATTTGTAGTATTTGTAGTAGTATTTGTAGTATTTGTAGTATTTGTAGTAGTAGTATTTGTAGTAGTTATTTGTAGTAGTATTGTAGTATTGTAGTATTTTGTGTAGTATTTGTAGTAGTATTGTGTAGTATTTGTAGTAGTATTTGTAGTATTTGTAGTATTTGTAGTATTTGTAGTATTTGTAGTAGTATTTGTAGTAGTTTTGTAGTATTTGTAGTATTTTGTAGTAGTATTTGTAGTATTTGTAGTATTTGTAGTATTTAGTATTTGTAGTATTTGTAGTAGTATTTGTAGTATTAGTATTTGTAGTAGTATTTGTAGTAGTAGTTGTAGTAGTATTTGTAGTAGTATTTGTAGTAGTAGTATTTGTAGTATTTGTAGTATTTGTAGTATTTGTAGTAGTATTTGTAGTAGTATTTGTAGTATTTTGTAGTATTTGTAGTAGTATTGTATTTGTAGTAGTAGTAGTATTTTGTAGTATTTGTAGTAGTATTTGTAGTATTTGTAGTATTTGTAGTAGTATTTGTAGTAGTATTTGTAGTATTTGTAGTAGTAGTAGTAGTAGTATTTGTAGTATTTGTAGTATTTGTAGTATTTGTAGTAGTATTTGTAGTATTTGTAGTATTTTGTAGTATTTGTAGTATTTGTAGTAGTATTTGTAGTATTTGTAGTATTTTGTAGTATTTGTAGTATTTGTAGTAGTAGTAGTTTTGTAGTATTTGTAGTATTTGTAGTAGTATTGTAGTAGTATTTGTAGTATAGTATATTGTGTAGTATTTGTAGTATTTGTAGTAGTATTTGTAGTATTTGTAGTAGTATTTGTAGTAGTATTTGTAGTATTTGTAGTATTTGTAGTAGTATTTGTAGTATTTGTAGATGTTTATACTCAGATTCAGGTCGGGGCTGTGGGACAAACTCACCTGCTCCACAAACACACATGAACTGAACTTTACACAGTCTGACCTGAATTATACCAGACCAGACTCACACCTGCTCTAGTCCTGCTCTAGTCCTGGTTTAGTCCTGGACTAGTCCTGGTTTAGTTCTGGTTTAGTTCTGGTTTAGTCCTGGTTTAGTTCTGGTTCAGTCCAAAACTCAATTTCACAAATAACAGATTAATAAAAAAGTAAATTGATATATAATATAAATAAATAGAGTTTCCAGGGTTTTAAAGGTTTTGGAAGTGGAGGATAAGTGGATGTTTTTTTCTTATTAAACTGGATTTTGGAAAGAAAAATGGGAAAGTAGAATTTATGATGAATGAATTTACATTTATAGATATTTTTATATATTTATAGATTTTTTATTTTATTTTGTAAGAATAATTAAGAGCTGAATGACATAAAACTGTTTACTGTTTGTGTGATGCATTATGAAAAAATAAATAAAATAAAAAACATGTGTTTAAAAGAAAAGCTAAACTGGGACATAAAGTTACATAAATATTTGACAAATTCCTTCCAAAAAAACGAGCGAGTCCCGCCTCAGGTCTGACGTTCAGATTCTGAAAAGTTTCATCTGTTCCAAAACTAAAAACATCAAACCAGCGTTTTGTTTTTCCACAAAAAACTAACGGCTGATGCAACATCCACAGACCGACCGACAAGCCCAGACCAGACCAGACCAAACCAGACCAGACCAGACCAGACCAGACCAAACCAGACCAGACCAGACCAGACCAGAGAGGAGGAGTCCAGAGGAGGAACTGAACCAGGACTAAACCAGGACTAAACCAGGACTAAAACAGGTCTAAACCAGGTCTAAACCAGGACTAAACCAGGCCTAGACCAGAACTAGACCAGGTCTAGACCAGAACTAGACCAGGTCTAGACCAGAACTAGACCAGGTCTAGACCAGGCCTTGATGCTGGAGCCAGTTGAGGCTCGGGCATCTGTTCTGATGTTTCCTGGACGTGTCCCTCAGGAGGTGTTCATGTCCCACCGGGAGGAGGAGGAGACCCAGGACACACTGGAGGAGCTGGAGGAAGTGTCTGGGGAGAAGGAAGTCTGGGAGTCTATGTTCAGACTGATGCTCCGAGAAAGAGGAAGAAAATGGACGGATGGTTAAACAAGACTAAAACCAGGACCAAACCAGAAATTGGGCTGGACATGAGGAGGACTGGAGCAGGACCTGGGCAGGATCTGGGCAGGATCTGGGTTGGACCTGGGCAGGACCTGGGCAGGACCTGGGTTGGACCTGGGCAGGACCTGGGTTGGACCTGGGTTGGACCTGGAGGTGGACCGTGACTCGTGAGGCGCGTATAAATTCGCAGCTCCACGTTTCTGCACAAACAACTTTTTCCTGCGGAGTTTTACGGAGAATCTGACGCACGGGACGCACGGGTCTGACGGGACGCACGGGTCTGACGCACGGGACGCTTCTGTCTGCTGCGGTTTTAGACGTTTTTCAGTTTTGTACTTTTCTTTTCCAAAGCGCAGTTTGGTCAAAATGAGCCACGTCGACGTGAAAAACATCAAACCCACAACTTTTGAGGAGGAATACTTCGACGAGTACGAATATTACAACCTGTCCGACAAGTATGCGGGTGAGTGTCGCGATAAAACCCCGCACACGTCGCCTCCTTTTTTCCTTTTTTTCCTTCTGTTTATTTTTAGTTGTTTGTTTGTTTGTTTTGTTCCAGAGGGTTCGGCGCGGAAAGGCAGGTCCAAGAAGGAGGCGAGCGACAACACGAACCGACCGAACCCCGGAGGACACGAGCGGAAGATCGTGGAGAAACTGGTGAACACCGAGAAGAAGGCCAAAGAGTGACCCGAGGTACGAGCGCGAGTCACTGACCCGAGGTACGAGCGCGGGGTGACCACAAGTCCCCACTGACCCGGGACAGTCCCGGTCTTGAGTCCAGATTTAAACAAAACCACAGATTTGTCCAAATTTATACAAGAAAATGTCCCAGTGTCTCTGTTAACGGATCTAAACCAGGTCTAAACCAGGTCTAAACCAGGTCCAAACTAGGTCCAAACTAGGTCCAAACTAGGTCCAAACCAGGTCCAAACCAGGTCTAAACTAGGTCCAAACTGATCTAAACTAGGTCCAAACTAGGTCCAAACCAGGTCCAAACCAGGTCCAAACCAGGTCCAAACCAGGTCTAAACCAGGTCTAAACCAGGTCTAAACTAGGTCCAAACTGATCTAAACCAGGTCCAAACTAGGTCCAAACTAGGTCCAAACTAGGTCCAAACTAGGTCTAAACTAGGTCTAAACCAGGTCTAAACCAGGTCTAAACCATGTCCAAACTAGGTCTAAACTAGGTCTAAACTAGGTCTAAACTAGGTCCAAACTAGGTCTAAACCAGGTCTAAACTAGGTCCAAACTAGGTCCAAACCAGGTCCAAACCAGGTCTAAACCAGGTCTAAACCAGGTCCAAACCAGGTCTCAGATTAAACGCTGAGGATGGACAATGTTTCACACTTTCTTCAGTTCTTTTTATTCCCACTGTCCCAACCTGAGTGTTTCCCAGTGTTTTATTTTGACAATCTGGTTCCTGTGTTTGTGTGTTGATGTGGAGAGGGGGATTTGAACCTCCAACCCTCAGTGTCTCAGTGGACAAACACTCCACACACTCCACTAGAATTCTGTAGATGATAAGAGACCCAGACCCGCAGCGCTGACTCGGTGCACGTACACAGTGACCAGATTTTCAAAGTAAAACACTGGGACACACTCGGGTTTGGACGGTTGGTGTAAATAAAAATGTGAAAAAAGTGTGTAGATTTGTCCGTCCTCGACTCTCGTGTGGGTCTGAGTTTAACCTGAGACTAAACACAGTCACTCCCCTTCAAGTCCTCTGCTTTAGACCTGATATAGACCGGGTTTAGTCCTGATTTAGTCCTGGTTTAGTCCTGGTTTAGATCCTATTGGACAAAATGGAGACACTTGGAAATCTTTTTGTCTAAATTGGGACAAATCAGTGGTTTTTGTGTAAATCTGCGGGACAAAGACACGGGGATAAACATAAACATCTGTTAGAGATAAATACATTGTGTTGTTGTTGTGCAGATGTTCAAATCTCAGTGTCTGTCAAACAGTCGTGGCTCTGGTGTGGTTTTTATTTTTTTCATGTGTGTCGTCGTAATCGTGTTTGTGGACGCTCCGACCCGAGACGCTGATAACACGAGCAGAGACCTTGGAACAGATCACTTTGTTCTTGAACTTCATCCAACTTTTCATTTTTTTCGTGTTGATTCAGTTTTGCTCGGTCGCTTTAAAGATCCGGAATCAAACAAAACATGTCCTAACAAAAGTCCTGTCCTCATGTTCAAACACGGAGCTGGACTCCACTTTTGTTCAGTAAATCTTGATTATTCATCTGTTTAAATCTTGTCTAAATGTTTGAGTTTGGGTTTTTAAACGTGTGAATGAAACAAAAAAACCCGACTCCAGGTTTGTGTGTGACGAGGAAACCGACAAATGTGAAAATTCAAATGAAAATATTATTAGAAAATTTTATTAGAAACAACAACAACAACAAAAAAGATTTCTTTCTGTTCTTTTCTTGTGTTCTGATGTTGGTGCTGTGGCTCCATCTAGTGGCTCTTGGGGAACACTGCAGGTTCTTCTGGATCCTTCTGGAACAAACTCGAGTTTCTCCTGAAAACTTCTTCCGCTCAAACAGAAACATTCAAGAACTTTTCAAAAACGTTTCTCTGAGTAACACCAACAAAAGGAGAATTTATACGACTTAATTAAGAGGATTAGTCCTGGTTTAGTTCTAGTTTAGTTTTAGTTTAGTCCTGGGTTAGTCCTGGGTTAGACCTAGTTTGGTCCAGATATAGTCCAGATTTAGACCTGGTTTAGACCTGGTTTAGTCCTGGTTTAGACCTGATTTAGTCCTAGTTTAGTCCTGGTTTAGTCCTGGTTTAGATCTGATGCAATCTTGGTTTAGTCCTAGTTTAGATGAAATTTTAATTTTGAATTTAAAACATTAAAAACATACACCTAAAATTCCAGAAACTAAAATTTAGAATAAAAATAATTAAAACTCTTCAAAATCTTTTTTCAGAGTAAAAAAATAAAAAAGTGAGAAATTCAGCGGCAATTAAAATTTAAAATCTCGTGGGGTCGTCGTCATTTTGGTACAAATTTCAAAAGTGCTGACGAGGAAACGACAAAACTCCACTGTCCAGAATCTGAAATAAAATTAAAATAAATTTCTGTTGTGTTTGTTTTTTTCCAGATTGAGTTGGACGGCTTTTCTGGAATCGACCTTGGTTTCCACGGCGACGTTTGACGTGGGAGCGCGCCAGCCTCCGATTGGACGAGGCCCGAGCGTCCACAGACTCCTCCCACCGGGGCCGCGAGCTCCGCCCTCACCTGAGTGCTCACCTGGTCGTCACGGCGACGGGGGCAGGGGGCGGGGCCTGTTCTGCTTGAGGAAGTTTTACCATTTTTTTTTTTTTGTTTTTTAAATAAATGATTTTAATAAAACTCGAGCTCGTATTTCTGTAAGTTTGAGTCGAGTTTGTGAAAGTCAAATTTGTTGCAAGTTTGTCACTTTTATTAGTTTGTACGAACATAAAATAAATAAATGAAAACAAAAATAAAATACTTGCACTTTTTCATTCTCAGTGTGGTTTATTTTGTACGATCATAAACAATAAAATTTTGTGCTTTCGTTAACATTTTTATTAGATTGTACGACCATAAACGTAAAAAAAAATAAAAATCCTTACATTCTTCATGCTCATTTTTCTTATTTAGATTTTTTTTTTATATTAATGATAAACTTTCGTGCTTTTGTGAACATTTTTATTACTTTGTACGACAATAAACGTTTACAAAATTTTTTATCTTTACATTCTTCAGTTTCACTTTTCTTATTTTGATACGATTATAAACGATAAACTTTTGTGGTTTCGTAAACATTTTTATTAGTTTGTACGACACAAACGTAAAAAAAAAAAAAAATTCTTACATTCTTCATTCTAATTTTTTTATTTAGTTTTTTTAAATAAACGATAAACTTTTGTGCTTTCGTAAACATAATTAATAGTTTGTACGACCATAAACGTTAAAACAATAAATTATCTTTACATTTTTCATTCTCATAGATTTAGATTTTTTTTATAAACTATAAACTTTTGTGCTTTTGTAAACATTTTATTAGTTTGTACGACCACAGTGTGTAATTTATTTTGCCGTAAATATTCGTAAAGTTCCGTGAAACCACATCATGTTTGAAACTCTGTCATGACCAGTGGAGGATTCATTTAAATTTTTCTTCTTTTTGCTCTTTTTGAGAATTTTAAACCTAAAACGACTCTGGGAAAATGGGTTCGGTTTTGTTTGTAGAAAAAGTGTAAGAGTTCAGAGGCACAGCGGCACAGCTCTGTTAAAGCCACACTGCGGAACATTTTGAGTAAAACACTAACGTCTCTTTGGTTTAGGTCGTTTCTGTTAATAAAAGCTTCAGTCCATCGGATCTGATCACAGCAACTTCAGTTTTATACTTAAAAATAAAAAAAGGATTTTTCTAGAAAAGTTCAGAGTGAAATTAACTCTGTGTGTGTCAGATCCATTTGACACACACGGGGAGGGACCTGACACACACAAGGAGGGACCTGACACACACGGGGAGGGACCTGACACACACGGGGAGGGACCTGACACACACGGGGAGGGACCTGACACACACGGGGAGGGACCTGACACACACGGGAGGGCACCTGACACACACGGGGTGGGACCTGACACACACGCGAGGGCACCTGACACACACGGGGAGGGACCTGACACACACGGGGAGGGACCTGACACACACGGGGAGGGACCTGACACACACGGGAGGGCACCTGACACACACGGGGAGGGACCTGACACACACGGGGAGGGACCCGACACACACGGGAGGGCACCGACACACACGGGGAGGGACCTGACACACACGGGGAGGGACCTGACACACACGGGAGGGCACCTGACACACACGGGGAGGGACCTGACACACACGGGGAGGGACCTGACACACACGGGGAGGGACCTGACACACACATACAACTTCTACACCTCCTCCTCTCCTGTTCTCTTCTTCTTCCCTCTTTCCTCTCCTTTTCTCTTCTCTCCTTTTCTCTTTCTTCTCTCCTGTTTCCTTTCTCCTCTTTCCTCTCTTCACCTCCTCTCCTTTTCTCTCTCCACTTCACCTCTCCTCCCTCCTTTTGTCTCTCCTCTTTCCTTTTCTCTCCTCTCACATTTTCTGTCTCCTTTTTCCTCCTCTCCTCTTCCCTTTTCTCTCTCCTTCTTTCTCCTCCTTTCTCCTCTTTCCTT